GTCATCTTGATACTGGAATTTTAAAAAGAGTTACACCACCACTCTGCAAGAACTATCCACTAACTCCAAGTAGATGGTTTATCACAGAAAAAACATCTCAAATAAGCTTCCAAACACTGATTCACACGTTCTATTTGAGCATCTGTTTGTGGATGATAGGCTGTGCAAAATTTCAGTTGCACTCCCAACAACTTGTACAACTCCTTCCAGAAATAGCTAGTAAAAATTGCATCTCTGTCAGTAATGATGTCATTTGGCAAACCATGTAGCCTGAAAATGACTTTGAAGAAGATTCCTGCCACCTTGGAAGCTGTCACAGGTGGTTCCATGGCTATGAAATGACTGTACTTGGTTAACCTATCCACAACCACCAAGAGATGGTGTTGTATGATCCTGAAGGTGGCAATTTAACAATAAAGTCCATAGAAAGACTTTTCGAAGCATGCTGTGGATTTGGATTTAAATGTAGTAATCCAGGATATGGAACATTTTCACCTTTGTTACGCTGGCAGACCACACAATTAGATACAAACTCATCTACATCCCTCTTCATGTTTGGCCAATAGAAGTATGCTTTTAATCTCTACAAGGAAACAACTTGACCAAAATGTCCTCCCAAAGAAGAAGCATGGAAAGCTTTCAATAAAGAAGATCTGATTTCAGTGTTATTAACAACAAATATCCTTCCCTTCTTCCTTAAAACTCCTTGAACATATTGAAACTCCTTATTGGCATTATCATGTCGATTGAGAGTGATCGCAGCAACAATATCTGTTATGGACTGATCACCTTGATAACTATTGATAACTTCCTGCATCCACTGTGGTTGAAGAGAGCCAAAAGACTAGCATAATTCATCCTTTCTAGATAAGGCATCTGATGAGAATCATGTAGCCTTCCATGGAGATTCTCCTAGTGAGGGGAGTGAACTAGTCCTTCATTCTAGTTTTGGAATGCCAAGTTTACTTTGCAGGCCAATCAAGGAAGAAAGGATGGATCTAGACTACCTATGTGATAGGGAGTTGGTTCAAGAAAGCTATGATCAAGATGATGAGAATGTCATTAACTTTGGGGTTCAAACCAAAGGAGATGATGACCTCATGGACATAAGTGCTGAAGAGTATCAAGAGAGTTTGACTCTGTGTGCTCCATGAAGATCATTGATCAAGCTAGTGAGAAGAGTCATTTAGGTTCTTGAATGGACGACCTATTTGATCAAAGTGTTCAAGATTGAGTCCATTGCTACACAATTGGATAGGTTGCAAACTATCTTAATTGTTTCAAGGGTTTTTCCAATCTTTTGGAGTCAATAAAGAGAATTCTACAAGTTTTGGAGTAAATTGGAGTTTTCTACAACTTAAGGGGCGCAAGACCAATATTCCACTTTTGGAAGGGCGTTCAAGACATTTTACTTCAACAATTTGGGAGCTGATTTTCGAGAATTAGAGTTAGTCTAAGTCTAGGAGTTATTTTCGAGTTTTATCTAGTCAGATAAGCCATGTGGGCTGAATAAAACTAGAGTGTTTTGATTAGGAGTCTTTGATTCCTTCTAGATATTATCCTACTTGAGGATAAGTCATTTAGATAAGGTTTCCTAGATTTTAGATAGAGTCAAAGAGATCAAATACTCTTCTACTTCTACTCCTTATGCGATAAGGTTAGAGAGTCCTAATTGATCTTCTTCTACTGGTGCTGGCCGATATTCTAAAGCCTATAAATAGGGGGCTTGGCCGAAATTTCAAAGCACCCTTGAGTGGTCGTTTTTGTTGTCTCTTTTGAGAGTTTTTCCTGTGAGGAATTTTTGTTAAATGGAGTGTCCATTTTTCGTGTCAAGTATGATTTAACCAAGAGGGTTTTCATCTTGTCTTGAATCTTTTGATCTTGCAGAAACCGTTCTTTTTCAAGTATGCTTCTTGATAGAATTGTTTTAAAACAAAATTTCTTGTTTTCATATTACTTCTAGTAGTTCGATTGATGAGCCTTTCTTTTTGCTTGGTGTTCGAATTTCATGATGAGTGTGTTCATGAGTTCCACTGTGGGGTTTGTCCTACTTTTGTTGGATGAGTTGTGCTTTGGCATAAGCATTTTGAGATAGTGTATGTGTTGCATATCTTTGGTTGGTTATGAAGATTACTAATCAACAGTATTACATCATAGTTGAGCATTGTTTGCTCCTACCTTTCTTGAATCTCTTGAATGATAATTGATCGAGTATATTGAATGGTGTCCTTGCTATTCTTAGCGTGGGTTGTTGTTTAATTCGAATCTTTCATGGATAATGTGTTCTTTGCTTGTTTGAGTTAAGGAATAGAATCACTTAGATAAACGATCGTCTTACTGTGAATTTTCCCACTCTTTTGAGTTTCACGGGATAGACAAATTATCTTCGTACTTTCTTGTTGATGGTTGCATTAACGAAATTTGATTCGTCTACGAGATTGCTATCAGCATCAGCGGTAGTATTCCCCTTTCTCCTCTTATACTGTATTTTATAATCAAAACCAAGTAACTTAGATAAGCTTTTATGCTGATTTGTGTTGTTAATCTTTTGTTCCATCAGATACTTCAAAGACTGATAATTAGTTCTGATGATAAAATGCACCCCAACCAAGTAATGCCTCCACTTGTTTACAGCCAAAACAAATGCCATTAACTCTTTCTCATAGATAGATAATCCTTTGTTCTTATGTAAAAGCCTTACTAATGTAAGCTATTGGCTGTCCTTGTTGCATAAGGACTGCACCCATGCCTGTTTCACTTGCATCAATTTCCACAATAAAAGTCATAGAGAAATCAGGAAGTCTCAAAACTGGAGCTGTCACCATACAAGTCTTCAACTTTTGGAAAGCAGTCAGAGCTTCAGGATTCCAACAGAAAGCATTCTTCCTCAAGAGATTTGTGAGAGGTTTGCAAAGCATTCCATAGTTCTTTATAAATCGCCTGTAGTAGCTAGTTAATCCCAGAAATCCCCTCAAACTCTTAAGAGAAGTAGGAACAGGCCAGCTATTGATACATTCCACCTTCTCTTTATCCATGCTTATACCATCTGCTAAAACCAAATGTCCCAAATATTCTTCTAAAGGTTGGGCAAAAGAGCATTTAGATCTCTTTGCATACAACTGGTGAGATCTCAGGATTTGAAGAACTTCTCTCAAATGTGACACATGCTCATCCATGCTATGGTTGTAAACTAATATGTCATTGAAGAACACAAGCACAAATCTTCTGAGCTGATTCTGAAAGATTTTAGGCATGAGTGATTGAAAAGTGGCTAAAGCATTTGTAAGGCCAAAAGGCATGACCAGAAACTCATAATGCCCACTGTGAGTTTGAAAAGCAGTCTTAGGTACATCTTCTTTATTGACCAAAATCTTGTAGTACCCTGATCTAAGATCCAACTTAGAAAAAACAGTTGCACCATTAAGCTCATCAAGTAGTTCTTCAATGACGGGAATGGGAAATTTATCCTTGATGGTCATGTCATTTAATCTTCTGTAATCTACACACATCCCCCAGCTCCCATCTTTTTTCTTAACCAGGATCACAGGTGAAGCAAAAGGACTCTTACTCTGCTGTGCTATTCCTTGCTCTTACAATTTAGAAACTGGTTTCTCTATCTGATTTATGAGCATGAAGGCAGATATGGTTGCATTTTAAATGGTTGAGCTCCTTGCTTGAGTGGAATCTGATGATCTACTGTCCTTCTTGGAGGAAGAGTGTTTGGAGTAGCAAAAACATCACAATACTCATCCAACAGTTTACTGATGTGGTCAGGAAGTGGAATCTCCACCATATCAGAATCCCTTTGATCATTATTTGACTGAAGCTGCAAACTCATCAACATTTGCCTCTTTTCTTTAGTAAATTCACAACAGTCTCTATCAACTTCATGCTGGATCCTCTTTCACTTCCTTGTAAGATGTACTGCCTCCCAAACTTGCTCAATCTAACATGCATATCATCAAAATCAAATGTAATGGGACTGTAATGCTTCATCCAGCCAACGCCAAAAATCATGTCATATCCACTCAACTTCATTATCTTCAAATCATAATTGAACTTGTAATCCATGATCCAACGTAAATTTGGGCAAATCAAGTTCCTTGAAACCTTGTTCCCATCCCCAACAGTAATAGTAAACCTTGGGCATTCTTTCACAGGCAAACTCATCTTCTGAACCAATCTTCCATCAATGAAACTGTTAGTGCTGCCAGTATGAGGATCTTAACAATTTGACCATCAATCCTTCCTACTAAAAGAACAGTTTGCTTACTGCTATCTATAGAAAACACATGTGCAAGGAACCCTCTTCAATAGTTAAATCATTCAGGTCAATACCCTCATCAATCAGTAATTCAGGAACATCAATTCCTCCTTATTCCCCAATTCTTCTTCTTCAGTCATGATCATGATATTAAAATGCTTGTACTTACAAACATGTCCTGGACCAAACTTCTCCCCACATTTGAAACACAATCTATTATTAGCTCTATACTGATACTCCTCCGGGCTAAGTCTCTTAACAAAATCAGGATTAATGGTTTTACTTAGACTTAGTTTCCATTCCTGAAGAATCAACAGACTTAACAGAAAAGGAAGGAGCCTTGGTTACTTGAAAAGAAGGGGTTTTTTTGGCTTCTTGACGCTCAATTCCATGTTTTGTTCCTGTAGTAGAGGTAATTTGAAAGCTGCTTTAAGTGTTTGTGGAGAGAACATCCTGACTGTTGGTCGTAATTCTTCTTTTAGTTCACTCATAAAACTGTGGATGAAATACTCTTCAGAAAGATGAGGATCTTGCATAACCATCCTTGTTCTGAGTTCCTCAAATTTATTTTGATAAGCCTTGACTGATCCTGACTAAAAGAGCTTGTTAAATTCCTCTATTGTTCTGATTTCCTCCAAATCAATGAATCTTTTCAGTAATTCTGATGAGAATTCTGTCCAAGAAAGCTTTCCTTCGGTCAATTTGATCGACTGGTACCAAGTGTCAGCCTGATCTTCTAGGTACAATTTGACATCAACCTTTTCTTCCTCAGAGATCTGATGAAGAATGAAAAACTTGGCTCATTTCCTGAGCCAATCCCTGAGTTGTTCTCTGGTGAATACTGGAAGTTCATTCTTTGGTTGAGTAAACCATTGCGGTCTCGCCTGTTTGTCTTTAACCGTTTCTTGAACTTCCACTGCCTTGCCTTTGTTAGCTTCTTGTAAATTGGCTGATTTCTCTGGTGAAACGACAAGTGTTGTTCGTCCTGAGTGAGATGCCCATTTTGAATTGGCAGTCTCTCCATTATCACTGGATTGTTCAAGATTGAGTTCCTTGCCTGTGAAGCTGAGATCAAGATCTTCAATTGTTCGCAAATTTCTGCCAATTGAGAGTTTGTACTGGCAAATTTTGACTCAAATTGTTTCTTCAACTCCTTGTTGCTCGCCTTGTGATCCATCGATTGTTGTCGGAGCTTTGTAGATACCTCCGTCAACTTCTGTTCCTGCCGGTGAAGCTGATCATCAATCTCCTTTCGAGAACGTGTCTGCGTCATATTGACTGGTTACAAAGCCAATAATCGAAGCTCTGATTACCAAGTTGTCACGTACGGTGGCCGGTAATGAAGAAATTGGAAGTTTTAGGGTTGTTGGAGTAATTCCGGAGAGTTCAGAGGGAGAGAATTTAGAAGAGAAGAGAATCAAGAATCTTTTGGAAAATGATGATATTATTATTCACTGATCATTATAGCTCATCGTTACAATATTAATACTCGATCATCAGCCGGCATTTCTGACTTGATGAAAGAAGTTACAAATCCACCCCCAAGTTTCCAAAACAGCGATTAGACCCCTGATCATGAAAAGTTGTCACGTACGGGGGCCGATAATGAAGAAATTGGAAGTTTAGGGTTGCCGGAGTAATTCTGGAGAGTTCAGAGGGAGAGAATTTAGAAGAGAAGAGAATCAAGAATCTTCTGAAAGTGATGATATAATATTAATACTATTAATACTATTAATAGTATTAATAATATTAATACCTCATCATCATAATATTAATACTATTAATACTATTAATAGTATTAGAGAATCAAGAATCTTCTAATCATTACACCTCATCATTATAATATTAATACTCAATTATCAGCCGCTATTTCTAACTTAATAATAGAAGTTACAAATCCACCCCCTAAGTTTCCAAAATAGCGATTACACCCTTGATCATGACAACTCTATTCCCCGTAACAGCGAGCTTGTCCTCAAGCTTGGAAATTATGAAATTGGCTGTGAACAAAACCTTCATCTTCCCACGAAGCATCTTCTAAACTCATCCCTTTCCACAAGATTAACTATTGAGTGACTTTCGCACCATTTCATTCAATAAATCGCCTTTGAAGAACCTTGTCAGGTTGCAAGTTGCTTTCTTCAAATAGAGACAAATCTGGAGGTAATGTGCAAGTGATTGGTTTAGCTCCCTTCTGTTTCTTCAAGAGGGACACATGAAAAACTGAGTGGATACTGAAAGAAGGAGGCAACCTCAAGCGATAAGCCACATCACCAATGTTTTCAATGACTTCAAAAGGACCATAACACTTGGATGATAACTTCAATCAAGCTCTCACTGCTATAGTAGTCTGCCTGTATGTTTGAAGTTTTAAGTACACCCAATCACCAATATTGAGGATTCTCTCACACCTGTGTTGATCTACAAAGTACTTCATGTGCTGCTGAGCTTTCAACATGTTGTCGTGAAGTAACTTTATGATATAAGCCCTCTGTTGAACCTCCTGCGTTGCAGCTGGAACTACACTTGTAGTGAATGGACCAAGAGGAAAAGTGCAAGGTTTCTCCCCATATAAAGCATCATAAGGAGTCATCTTGATACTGGAATGATAAAAAGAGTTATACCACCACTCACCAAGAACTATCTACTGTCTCCAAGTAGATGGTTTATCATTGTAAAAACATCTCAGATAAGCTTCCAAACACTGATTCACACGTTCTGTTTGACCACCTGTTTGTGGATGATAGGCTGTGCTAAATTTCATTTGCACTCCTAACAACTTGAACAACTCCTTCCACAAATACCTAGTAAAAATTGTATGTCTGTCAGTAATGATGCCATTTGGCAAACCATGTAGCCTAAAAATGACTTTGAAGAAGATTCTTGCCACCTTGGAAGCTGTCACAGGTGGTTCCATGGCTATGAAATGACTGTACTCTATTAACCTATCCACAACCGCCAGGATGGTGTTGTATGATCACCTTGATAATTCCTTGAACATATTGAAACTCTTTATTGGCATTTTCATGTGGATTGAGAGTTATCGCAGCAACAAAGTCTGTTATGGACTGATCACCTTGATAACTGTTGATAACTTACTGCATCCACTGTGGTTGAAGAGAAGTGATAGCCAAACGACTACCTTGGGAACTGCTGGCATCTCCACTTAAACAGAATTGATCCTTTAAAGATAAGGCATCAGCATCAATATTCTCCTTTCCCCTCATATACTGTATTTCATAATCAAAACCAAGTAACTTAGTTAACCATTTATGCTGATTTGTGTTGATAACCTTCTATTCCATCAGCTACTTGAAAGACTGATGATTAGTTCTGATGATAAAATGCACCCCAACCAAGTAATGCCTCCACTTGTTTACAGCCAAAACCAATGCCATTAACTCTTTTTGGGAGACAGATAATCATTTGTTCTTCTGATTAAAAGCCTTACTAATGTAAGCTATTGGCTGTCCTTATTGCCTAAGGACTGCACCCACTTGCATCAGTTTCCACAATAAAAGTCATAGAGAAATCATGAAGTCTCAAAACTGGAGCTGTCACCATACAAGTTTTCAACTTTTGGAAAGTAGTCTGAACTTCTGGATTCCAACAGAAAGCATTTTTCCTCAAGAGATTTGTGAGAGTGATAGCAATCCGTGACAAAACCAATCTTTAAGGAAAGACCAACTTTGCTAATCGGAAAGACAGAGATTTGTAGGCAGCGGAATTTGGAGAATTTTGATTTAAGACTCAAAAACACACGAAAAACAAAGAAAATAAAAGATATTTAACCTCACATGGATCAATTCAGGAGTTCAATGGTAGAACAACCCAAATCAAGAATGAAGAGAGCTATTTCTAACAAAGCAGAGACCCCTTAGAAAGTTGTGTAGGAAAACCCAATAGATATGAGATCTATGAGCTCAAATACCAAGATTCAAAAGATCCAATGCTAAAGACGCCACTATCAAGTGAACTAAACAAGATAGATAAGTCTAAAAATTGTCACAACACATATGCAACAACTAAATAAAGAAGTCCTCACATGAACTCCACGAAAGGAACAAGATCCTAACCAATTTCACTCAGGAAAATATCAATGACACAAGGTGTGTTGGACAAGAGAATTTTGGTCCCTATTTATAGAGGGGGTGGCCGAAATTTCTTCCCAAGAAGTAGAGGAAGAACACAACTCTTCACTCCTATCTTTAAGAATTTGAAATGAAATCAAACTCTAAAGACTCCTAGTTATCTTAAGTGATAAAATAACGAACCTAGACACTTTTACTAGTCTTAAAACATTTAAGACTTGTAGGAATTAATTAAAACTCAAAATACAAAGAGATAATCTCTTAGAAAGATTTCAATGGATAGAATCTCCCTTGATTTAAAACTCTATCATCATCTTCTTTGTAGAGTGATCTTAGCCATCCATCTTGATGTAGTCTTCATCCAACGGTTGAGTAGACATCAAAATTTGACTCCTTATTGTAGGAAACTCGAAAACAAGATAAAAAGAATCATCCCAAATATTATCCTTTAAAGAGATAAAAGTATTCTCTTTCAAAGAGATAAAATTTGAATGATCTCACCCCTAAACTTTAGGGAGTAATTCGACCAACATGAGGAGATGTGGCTGGCGGTCCCTTTGAGGATTGAGGGCCGAAATTCTTCTCTCCAAATGGGCCAAGTCCATTTGGTGTCACTTGCAGCAAATTAATAGTCTTGGGCTTGTAATCTTCAAGCTTAATATCCTCCTTAGCCCATGTAGTTACAATGAGACTATTAAGTGATTCATTCATCCTCTTGCGTCTAGCACGAGTCATTGGTCCAACAATGTTTGAGAGTGGATCAAGGATGTAAGGATTATTCTTTAAAATAGCATCTTTAGATCCTCCATTAGCATTCACGACCTCAACTTGCTCGTCCTCTCCATTATTGGCAGCAGCATGTCCCTCTCCATTAGTGTTAGCTAGATGGTCGCCAACAAAGAGGAACGGATTGAACTATCTGCATTAACTAATTGTTGCTTTACATGAAAAGATGGATGACCAAGTCTAGGATGCAATAAATTTGGAGAAATGACAGTGGTACAAGCACTATGAAAAAACTAAAAATCTTGCAATTTGGAGGTGGTGGCTTTAATATGAAGTAGATGGGAAGCATAGAGTTCCTGAGACTGTTAGATTGCTTGTGAAGTGAAGGAAATTTCATCAAGGATGTATAACTCCTTGATTACTCTACCAGCTGCAAGGACCCTTCCTGTACTAAGGTCCTGCAGTAAACAAAAACCAGCAAAAAAATTTGAAGAAGAAAGTTGTTGTTTTTGCAAGCCTTCTTAGTAATAAAAAATTATACTTAAAATCAGGAACATGCATGCAGGAGGATAATGTGATTGACTCTGAAATTGCAACATCACCAAAGTGAGTGACAAGCTTGATACTACCATCCGGAAGTAGAATCGGAGTAACAGTTTTAGATGACATAATGTTATGCATAATAGAAAGGGTAGTGCATGTGACATGTTGCACCCGTATTTGTAACCCAAGCCTTAGGAGTTATGTAATCAAAAAGCAAAATAACTAATCTTAGAATAAGTAGCACTACCTGAAATATCATGAAAATGAGCCATGTTCACTTTGTGATGATCAACAGGTTCTGCAACACCTTTCCCTTTTGTAATCCGATCCAATTCTAACTGCATTGTTGTGATCATGGATTGAAGTTGGTCTGAATTGGTGGCATAGTTATTGAAAGGTGTATTCTGACTACTCCAAACTGCTTAAAGCCAAGTTATCCAATTTATGGATAATGGTAGTGTAGACAGGTTTAAAGCCAGATTGGTGGCAAAAGGGTATAATCAGGTGGAAAGGAGAGGATTACTATGACAGTTTTTCTCCAGTAGCAAAAGTGGTGACAGTGGGACTTCTTCTGGCAATTGCTGCAGCCTCAAACATGTCTCTTCATCAATTAGACATAAATAATGCCATCTTGCATGGTTTCTTGGATGAAGAAGTTTACATGATTCTTCTTAATGGTTATCAAAAGGGAACAACTACACAAGTATGCAAGTTGAAACATTCCCTGTATGGCTTGAAACAGGCCTCCAGGCAATGGAATACAGAATTTACCACCAAAATGAATCAGTATGGTTTCAAGCAGTCAAGAAATGATCCTTGCTTGTTTATGAAGTCAGATTCTACTTGCTTCTTTGCCTTGATAGTGTATGTTGATGATATCTTGGTCATTGGCTCAGATGAATCTTCTATCCTC